TGTGTGGGATGTTTTAGGGTACAATGATCATTGAAGATGTTGCTGTGGTCTTCACGCACGAAGAGTGGGATTTGCTGGATCCTGCTCAGAGGAAACTCTACAGAGACGTGATGATGGAAACCTTGAGAAACCTGGCTTCAGTCGGTATGAATGGCATCTTCCTTTTTCTTTTTTTTATTCCTTTAGTGAACAAAAATATTTTACTCATCAACTGTGCTTGCCTTATATGGAATGAGCAATGGGAACACCCTGTAAAATAAAAGGCATGGTCCCCTTTTATATGGAGCTCATGTATCCAGGATTCCCCTAGTACAAAGCTCTGTGCAATGAACTGAGCTTTCATTTCTCTTGTGAATAAAATAAGCCTTGGGCCTCCCTTTAAGTGCCATCAGCATAGCATGGACTTCAGGGAACACATTCATGCACTGACAGACTTTTCCTGTGGGTGCCTTCCTGAGATATTTATTGGGTTTCTCGCAAGTTTGATGTCATGATTTTGATGCAGATAAACTCACATCTGTCAATCATCAGAGCTTCTAGAGAACAGAGTACCATCTTGGTGACAAGGAATCTTTCATTGGTCATCAAGGTCTTCCTTGTGATGTACATTTCCTCATGAGCTGCATGTTTCAATGCTGAGGGAACTTGTGTACATTTTCCTAGAGGCGACTGGGGAATTTATCCTAAACCACCACATTGGGACTCCTGAGCTCTGTGGTAGCTCTACCCATTTGTTTTCTCAAAGAAGCTAAGGAAACATCTGAGAAGACTGGAAGTCACAGTCACTGAGGCCCATGTGTCAGGAAGCCCGAGGAAATGTAATTTTAGCCCGTAAATGAAGGAAATCAGTTAGCTTCAAAAAGTTTATTTTGGTTGGCAGATACAACTTCACAGATACCTGAACTTATTCTGTTGACTGCAGTTGTCCTTTAGCACCTGAGGACACAGAGACCCTTTTCCTTTGTAACGTTACATGTGTGGTATGTCTAATTCCTTTCTACTTAGCTCTCCTAATGATACCTGTGTATATTACTGTCCCTCTCCATCCTGATAGATGTATTTGCAAGTAAATTGTATTTAACACTTGTCAAAGTGCTGGAATAGCAAAATGGGGCTGAGTCTTTTTTACTAGGAACCTCTGTTTCCTCTAATCATTCCCATTCAATTCTAATTGTGGACTTTATCCTGAATGATTGGACCAGTGGCTGGAAACATCAATGATGGAGAAAAGTTACCCAGTGAGCATTTAATCATACAATGTCTAAAGAGTAACACCTGGTTATTATGCATCCCAGGTGCAATCAAGAAATCACATGGCTGGAAGGATCACCTTGAGAACCAGGGGAGACATTTGAGGTGAGTATGAATCAAACAACCGAAATTAGTGCTTCACAAAATCTCAGGAGGTGTCATAACATTAAAATACACTGAAATGAGGGGGCTCCAAATAGTTCATGGAGAACTCCATCGTCTTTCAATTGC